TCATAGTTTCACTGTCAGAATGAAGTGTTTAACCATGTATTATTTGACTATTGTGATCATGCTAAGCAAATGATGTTTGTCTGATCTGCTAGTTCAAGTCCTGGTCAGTGGCCCATCTGCTCTGCTCTCTTGAATTATTAACCCTCATGGGCACTCAGCGCCTGCCCCTGCACTCTAACCTCTGTCCTACAGCACAAATACACACAAAGATGTCAATAAGAAAATCTTATTAAATGGTTTGATGTCATGACACATCAGCAATGCCCTACTTTACTGAAGTGCTTAAGGTTGAAAGGGCTGATTTGTTTGAAAATACTGTGAAGTTGAAGGATTGTGGGGGTTTCAACTATCACAGCCATTCATCACTCATCTCCATTTGGCCTCTGTGGGAATCTTATTGTGCTTCCCACCTTTTCTCTCTCTCGTTCTTGTCAGTTTGATGTGATGGTCCTAATCTGTTTATGGTGAGGGTGGAGGCAGACCTGTGGGTTCTGTAACCTTATCATATCAGAGCAGCTTCCCGTTAGATTCCACAGATGCACAAATGCAATCTGCCTCTGTTTATGAAAGCTTCATATCGGGATAATATGCATGGCTTTTTATCAGTGTGCGGCAAGACTCTATCTCTGCACTGAAAGGGTGTGCGTGTGTGTAAGGGGAGGATGTGGCAACAGTGAGAGCATTGGCTGGGATTGAATTCTTATTATGACCATTCATGTATTCGAAGATGCACTGAAAAATATGTTTTTGGTTTTCGGTGCATGTCTGTAGGTTTATATGCATGTGAGTTTTATGTGAATTAGAGGTCTGCTATTGGTTGGTTGGTTCATTCTTCAGTTGGTTGGTTGGTTGGTTAGTTCATTCGTTGGTTGGTTCATATATAATATAATATAAATAGTATTTATTAAATATTTTAGATACATTTTGTTGCGTTTCTGTGACTACTCCATAGAAATAGGACAGGATGGAAATGCAAAAAGCAGGAGCAATTTTGGTTTGGGTCGCGTGTGGACCTTTAAAATTTGACAGTACTGACTGGGTTAGGTCGGGATTGCAGGGTCTTTTTATAGGGCTGACTACGTGAGTTTAACTTCATGTCTGTGCAGTGTACAAAAGTTTGTTTTTACAAAATGTTGCTGAATCTTTACTCTAGGCAGCATCTTTGATAAAGCCCCTGCAGATTTTCTCATCTAAAATTGATGATACTGTTTATTTGCTGGATTGTTTGACTTTTGACTGAAGGAGCTATAGTTTTCTAGGCCCATAGCTGTGGACTCCTGGGGCAATGCAAATGTTATAGATCTGAAATTTACAGGTCTGGACCAAACTCCTCAAAGGTTTTCACAAAGCCAAGGCAAAACCCATTTTAACCAGCCCTGATGACTCTCTTGCCAAGGTCTGCAGCTATACTTCAGTGGATGCTCTCGTATGTATTCATACAAGCATGCAAGCACACGATTATGACTTCAAGCACATACGTTTGGACTGAATACATCAGTGCATGCTTGAATATATAGCTATGGTTGTAGATAGTATTTGCGGACGTGACGTGAATGTGGTCAGCGGGTTTAAAAAAGTAGTGAAGTAACTCAGTTGTGTCGAGTACTTTTGTTAACACTATGGTATGCTAGAGGTTCTTATCGCTTTTTAATGAATTGAATGCTCCTGCGGTGAGTCTGAATGCTTTTACGACACTGTTAAAATCAAAGAATTAAAAGCATAACGTTGTTAGAATTGAATCCCTGCTGTTATACCTAATCACATGTTTGAATGCACACGAGACGGGGGACGGCGTCGGCGAGAAAGTTAGATTTACTTTGGGATGGCTTCATAGGCCCACAGTTGAAAACTCGGTTCTCAATTTAATTGCAGGAATAAAGGATTGAGAGAGGATGAGAGACTGTGTGGGGGCCTCATCCAAAAAGTTAGTGGGATATCAGGGCTTATTTACACTGTGATGGTTTCACAGTGTGCATCATGTGGGGAATACATCCAGTTTACTTTAGCTTTGAGTGGGTTTCTATGTATGCATTTTGTATTGTCTAAAGAAAATGTGACTAGTACTTCTCTGTGCAAAATTTTGGAGTGTTTTTAAATGCGTTTCTGCACAGCTGTTAGGGTGTTTTCTCGGGCAGGAGTTTTCAAATTGGGCATTGGGGACACATAGGTGTCAGCAACCGAGTGATGGGGGACCGTAAGAAAAACTGAGAAAAAACACATTTGACAAAGTGCACTTTTAAGGCTGTCAAAGTTAAGGGAATAGTTTACTTAAAAATAAAAATTCTGTCATCATTTACTCACCCTCAAGTTGTTTCAAACCTGTATTACTGAAACTCTGAAGAGGCGTAATAAATAATTTTGGGTTGTGGTAATGGAATCCCAGCAACGAATCACTCCGGTCGATAATCAAACAAACACACAAAACTAAGCAGAAAAAGTAATAATTTATTAAGGAATAACAAGTGAAATAAAGAGCATCTCTTCCCAAAGGCCAAAATAATAAACAAAACAAATATAAAAAGAAAAAAGAAAAGAATTAATAACCTAATCCATATGACTCCGATCCAATAGTTTTGTGTGTTTGTTTGATTATCGACCGGAGTGATTCGTTGCTGGGATTTCATTACCACTCCACAACCCAAAATTATTTATTACGCCTCTTCAGAGTTTCAGTAATACAGGTTTGAAACAACTTGAGTAACCTCGGTTCTCTCTAGAAGAGGGAACGAGTGTTTTGTAACACTGCCGTGCTTGTGCTACCAACTGGTTTCGCTTCAGTTGATGAAAACCAAGGAGCATCCTATCGAGCTCTGGCTTATATATGCATAAGCCACGCCCATTCGCGCGGGATGTGACCACTGAGGGCGCCAGAGCTCTCAACACGAGTACGACCGAACCAACAATGAGCTCCCAGACGAGTGCCAGCAGCGTCCTTATAAAGACCACGCCCCGACTGGACAACCAATGGCTTTCGTATACTCCATCATTGGACAACCTATTAGAAATCAGACAAAACGAGGAAAAGAAGAGGAACACAGAGCAATAGAAAAACAAAAGGCAACATAAACACAGGTCGTAACACCTGAATGAATTTCTTTTTTCTGCCGAACACAAAGACAGTTGATGGACCCCATTGACTTCCATAGTAGGAAAAAAATACTATGGAAGTCAGTGGAGTCCATCAACTGTTTGGTTACCGACATTCTTCAAAAAATCTTCCTTTGTGTTCAGCAGAAGAAAGAAATGCATACAGGTTTGAAACAACTTGAGGGTGAGTAAATGATGGACAGAATTAACAATTTTAAATGACCTAGAGTTTAACTAAGAACTACAACTTTTTTTTTTTTTTTTACAAACTTACAGAATTTGCTTTCTGATTCTATTGACAACTAGCCTGGATGCCAGCCCGAACCCCACCCACAACATTTTTTGGTCGGGAAGTTCGGTCTGGACTCGATCCATTGAGGAGTAATTATGATCGGTTCAGAAATCGTCGGGTCAATCAAATTGCCAGGGCGGGGTTTATACGATGATGGACAGATGATCTCCAGTTACGTAATCATCACGTTATCAAAGAGCGCTTGGGTTAAACGTTGAACTGGTTTCCCTCAAAGATGACTGCAGCTGGGGAACTGAGATGTATAGATTCCGCTATCGCGTCTATTGTAAAAGAAATCGACAGCGCATTCATTTTAAAAGACGAACAGAGAACTGCAATCAAGGCATTTGTCGAACGGAAAGATGTGTTTGCCGTCCTTCCTACGGGACTCGGCAAAAGTTTAATTTATCAGCTGGCTCCGATGGTCGCTAAGAAGATGGGACGCAATGAAAACCCTGCGGTCGTTGTGGTTTCTCCTTTGGTCGCACTCATGGAGGACCAAGTAAAAGAAGCAACACTCATTATTTTACTACTACTTCCAGCGTGTGCAGTTGAGTTCTGTTGACAACTATGCGTAGCTCAACATACGTCACTTACTGCGTTGCTCTGATTGATTGTAGGTCTATCCAATTGAGTGCAGAGTTTATTTTTTTTCCTGGTTCGGTTAAGACATGCCTCATAATCAAAGCCCAGTGGAGCAGTATCAGACTCACATTCTGACTAGAATATGAGTATGACGAAGTCAGGCTAATTGACAACCACAACAGTCTTAAAAAGATTCTCTGGGTTGTCAATATTAATAATACTTTTCTCACACAGTATAAATGGGTCTTCCCTGTATATGAAATGCTTAAAACTCTTGCAAGGAGATCATCATATTTTGGGGTCCTTAGCATCCAAATGTTTAAAAAAAAAATTGTTTTTAGTGATTATTACTCAAGTAATATTCCTAATGCGGTATTTGAAGAAATAGAAAATACATTTGAAAAGGATGAAGGAAAGCATGTGAGAGCAATAAATGGAGAGCAGGAGGTTGTTCTCAGAGTGCTATTTCTCATGAAAGAACTGTTTCAGTCTTCCTCATTCACACACTGTTCATCGTTCTCCTTGGGGAATCACACCACCACCAGCCACCCAACCTGCTGCTCCTGCTGCCTGTTTCTCTCTTTCTCTCTCCATCTGTCTTTCTGGGCTGAATCAACCAACCTTGCATTACAGCTACTATTTAATCAGAGAATTAATCCATTATTTAAACGTGTGTTTTAGTGCTGTCAATCAATTAAAAATGTAATTAATTTATTACATGGAATGCCAATTATTCAATAAAATTAAACCACGTTCATAAATATTACAATTAATTGCACACATACATATTTTATGAGAAAAGCCCTCAAATGAAGATCAGCTGAAAACATTAGTGTGGTAGAAGAGGGAATCATTGAATAGATGATACAAAAGAATGTGTCCTTTGTGAACAGCTTGATCTGATTTTTTTTTTTCTTTGAATTTATATGCATCAGAGTGTGTTCTAGTTGATTGATTTTTGGATTCTTATTTCATCAGAGAGGGGTCGGATTTATGGTGATGTTGTAGAGAAAATGTATTTTTCTCTTTCCCATAGCTGGGAGGTAGTGCGGTTCCTCCTCTCCAACCTGCGCTGGTGGATGGAGGAGTATCACTTTGACGGCTTCAGGTTTGACGGCGTGACCTCAATGCTCTATCACCACCATGGCATCGGTCAGTTATTCTGCACATGCAAACAAGCATCATTATTCAGTGTGAAAACAATTCATTGTCTTAATCGGTGTCTTTTGGTCTTGTAAAAACACAGTCTCCTTAAAATGAGGTAAATTTGTAGGCAATAAAACGTGCCAGAGATTATCTTGAATTAAAGTTATTTTTCTTATATAGTGTATTTGAATCATCAGAACTGTAAAGAGTTTAATGTTTCCTGTTCCGATCAGTCATTTGGTTGACTAAAAATAATCAGCTCATTCGTTCAGTAATCGGACTACACTGATTGCGTTGTTCTTGATTTAATAAAAAGTATCAGCTCGTAAGAGTCATTCCCTCGGGAGTCAGAGTTCATTGGTTGTTTATTGGTAGTGTCATTACAGATCAACTCTAGTGCAGGAAAATCTTTAGTCATTTTAGTTCTGTTTTCATCCACATCGGTGAAAGAATGCACATGCGAAAACCGTTAACAGAACCAAACATCTTTCTGAATAAGAACCGGTTCTACCATGCCTAGCATTAAACAATGCATTGAATTTTTTCATTTATGCTAAAAATAACATAAAAAAGTTATTCTGCACTGTACAAAATTATTTTCATGATTTGTTATCGAAACTTTTTATCCTTTTGTCAAATCAACTTGGATAATTAATGTGGTTCAGGTAACATAATATTTTGAGTTTCTATTTATTAAACTAATCTCCTTTATTGTTTTAACTCACATTTTTTTATTTCAATTAACTAAACATTTTAAGGAAACCAGGTAACTTACTTTTTTAAGTTAAACCAACAATAAGTTTTTTACAGTGGGGCTAAGAAAAATAAACTACGGATACAGCCTATTTTCTAAAAAACAAGTCTTAATATCTTATTCAATTTAGCTTGGTTCTCTAGCAGGGCCTTCATTTTATCCTGTTTGACATTTAGTTTTTACTGACAAACATACTGATTAATTTGTTGATTTATTTAATTTGCGTTGTACATATATTATATATTTTTTTGTGCCTCTGTATGTCTCTGTATTAGTTCATCTGAATGAAATGTAAAAACTTTGATGCAGAGGTATGCCGACTATGTCATTTCTGTTGAATTAATAAGTCTCTAAATCACTAAAACTGGACGAAAAGTACAAACTGCATGAAAAGATTTGAAAGGCCCTCTTAGACTATTATCATAAATAATGAGAGACCTTGGCCGCTCTACATATTACCTGAAATGATTATGAAAGGTCTGTGATGTCATTAATCCATATTCCACTAGAATCTCTTTTTTTTTTTGTACAGGCACATCATTTTCTGGGAACTACGGCGAGTACTTTGGAATGCATGTGGATGAAAACGCAGTCGTTTATCTGATGCTGGCCAATCACATTTTGCACATGCTCTACCCACAATGCATCACTGTAGCAGAGGTGAGAGCCTACCTACACCACAGTACATTTCTTTTTTTTTTCACAAGAGGTTTAATTTTTCCTGCTCGTACCTCTTTCCCACCAATTACAGCTCCCATTACCTTTTTTCTCGCTCCAGAGTGGAAATTTCATTTCATTCTTTTCTATTCACCTGCTCTGTGGTGGTACATTTATTTAAAGCTGAGCTCCTGAGAAATGGGATCTGAACACTGTGGCTAATGGATCAGGGTGATAATTAAGTGATTAAGGCCAAAAGAGTCAAGAAAAGAACAAGAGAGGTTTTCTGGGGCAGTTATCGTATGGATCTGTGCCCCAGTCTCTCTCGCTCTCTTCTTCAACAGTCTCATATGACCCACAGGCAGGTTGTAATAGAAGCAGGCGAATTGCTTCAAATTGCTTTAATTTGCCCATCTGCCAATGTGATTAATCAAAAGTACAGAACGAATGGGGAAGTGGAAGAATACAGCTGCATCCCTGAAGACGGACAGAATCCGTGTCTCAAGGTTTGCTGCAAACCAGGCAACATTCTTTCCATATATTTACTCAATCCCAAAAAACTCTCACTGCAGAAAAAATCATTCGTTTTGGTCCAACCAATGGACACTTAAGAAAGTGACTCCTTCAACTTGGAAGAATGGCGTTCTGAATTGCAATTTTCGACTCCTACATTTTCTTAACCCTAAAATTTTCCATCGTGGCAGATGAAGCTGAAACACGCTGTCTTGATCCAACAATTTCTATATTTTTTTTTTTCCTCAATTTTCTGAACGCTCTTTGGCTTCATCTTTGCTAGACATTCCATTTTACAGTTGTCAAAACTGGTATAAGATGATCATTAGCTAGTTATAAGAATGTAGTGTTTATCCACTAAAAATCATGACATCCACCCTTGCTGCTCACGCCATGTTCTTTAGAGAAGTAGAAATGTCCAATTTGTGAATGTAATGTTAATTTGAGTCAAATCTTTTCAATATATTTTGTTGATACAGCTCACAAAACCGGTCTGATTGATTCAGTCACAAATATGACTGATATGGTTCTCGACTAACTCACTAATTCAATTGTCAAGCTGGCAGAAGATTTTCAGTATGTAACAACTTAAATTTTGGTCTGTTCTTCGCACAAAACCTCAGGACAAGTACACATTGTATGGACCACTTTTATGATGCTTTCACGGCACTTGTTTCCATTTTTGAGCTTTTCGGCCTCAGTTGTCATTCATTTTAATTAGGCTATATGAAAAAGAATGAACTTTCTCACTTTTTATGTTCCCCAGAAGAAAGTTTCAACTATTACTCTCACTTACTATAATTGTTAAATTGCACTGACTAATGGACAAATAGAAACTAGGTATCATGTTCCAAGAGACAGCGTAATCTGTATTTTTCCATCAGGGAATGCACGTTCTCACAGTTCCTCGCTCACCATTTCCTCATGGATTTTTGTGTAGGATGTATCAGGGATGCCAGGTCTGTGCAGGTCCATTGAAGAGGGAGGACTGGGCTTTGATTATCGTCTGACCATGGCTGTGCCAGACAAATGGATCCAGGTGAGCTCCCATCTCCTGTGATTTCTCTCTCTCTCTCTCTCTCTCTCTCTCTCTCTCTCTCTCTCTCTCTCTCTCTCTCTCTCTCTCTCTCTCTCTCTCTCTCTCTCTCTCTCTCTCTCTCTCTCTCTCTCTCTCTCTCTCTCTCTCTCTCTCTCTCTCTCTCTCTCTCTCTCTCTCTCTCTCTCTCTCTCTCTCTCTACACACACAGATGTTGCTCCTTTGTGTTTGGTTCTGTGCAAATGATGTTGTTTGATGTTTGCAGTTCACCGTTTTGGGGTCATCTCTCTTTATGAAGCTGCGTATTTGTAGTCTTTCTGCAGCGGCTGTCTCGCACCCAAAATCCCCCGCTGGCTCGACTCTGCGCATGTGTCAGCGTGGGCATTTCCGCTTTAATTCGAGCCAGGTTTTTGCATGGCCGTGCCTTTTTAAAATGATAAAAGGAAGAGTATTGATTGAGTTGCTTCCTGAGTTCAGGGTGTAATCTGAGATCTGGCACAGCCTGTTCAGATAGCAGCCCCCTTTTTTCTGTCAGGCTTCTATTTCAGTCCCACTTTGTCCATCTTTCATTTGTCTTTTGGCAGAATTTTGAATGTCATTAAAAGGTTTGTGTATTGATATCCCAGTCTCTATCTCTCAGTTATAAAAAGCCTTGGTGTTTCTGTGAGTTTGCGCTTGTTCTGTTTCCCTTTCTTGCATATAGACACGCACACAAATTCTACAGGCTTATTCAACATGACTTCCAAAACTCTAATCACTTGTAAGTCTTGCATAGGAAAGTCAACATTTTCACGCTTGGCACCAAACCAGAACGCAACCCAGAAAAATAATTGAAAACAAGTGAAACAAATCGTATTCAATCATATAAAAAAAGAGACTTGCAAATTGTATTGCGTTTTAGCTGAGCACAGAATATCAAGCATATCCCTGTTTACAATCTTAAAGGAACAGTTCAACCCAAATGACAATCCTCAAATCAAACCTCAAAGTCAAAATATTTTGCCCCAAATTTTGTCAATGACAAAGGCACTAGGATTTGCATGTCTTGTAATTAATTATGACTTGCCAAGTTTGAACATGAGAAGGCACAAATAAGATTAGAAAGCTACACTGCTAAAAAATCTTAATCATGCTAAAAGTCCTGCTAAAATATTCTTAATGTTTTCATTTAAAAAAAAACATCTAAATATAATTAAGAACAAAGATTGTAAAATTTATATATGTAAAATTATTATAAATAAATGCCGTTCTTTCAAACTTTCTACTCATCTATGAAAATAGCGTTTTCCTTAAAAAATATTAAGCAGCACAACTGTTTTAAACATTGACAACAATAAGAAATGTTTCTTGATCAGCAAATCAGCATATTAGAATGATTCCTGATGGATCATGTGACACTGAAGACTGGAGTAATGAGGCATCACAGGAATAAATTACATTTAAAAATATATTAAAATAGACAACAGTAATTCAGAATTTTAATAATAAGTAACAATATTAATCTTTTTACTCTATTTTTAATCAAACAAATGTAGCCTTGTTGAGCATAAGAGACTATCATATGGCTTTAGTAAACTTACAACCATAACAACCTGTTTTATGTTAGTTTTTGATTAAAGTCATACGGGTTTGGAACAACATGGGGGCGAGTATATGAATTTTCATTTTCACTTTTCTTTTAATCCCTTGGCAAACTGCAGTAACCCATGTGTCTGTGACCCTCTTAGACAAAGAAATCCATGTCCGCACTTCACCCCTCTGTGCCATAACTCTCTTTTTCACAATGAGGTGTTCAAGAGGGCAAACTCCCTCCTGATTTACTACTGAATTCCTCCTCTTTCTTGCTTTCTGTCTCTCTCTTCCTCCCCTCCTCTGTCACAAACAGAGTTAGGGCTTCTCAGCTGCGCGCTGCGCTGTGACGGAGGTCGGCTGAGCGTGGCTCGCTTGTGAAATTAAAATGTCCGCCGCATGGAATCGATAATGCAGATGATGAACAGAGTGGAGGGAAACGGGAGGAGAAGAGGGCCACAGTCCGTAATGAAACCTCCCCAAAACCTAATGAAATCTTTCGAGATTTCCATAAAGAGAGCAGCTGTTCTCTTTCTCTCACTGTATTCTCTGATGAATACATTAATATGTGGAATCAATGGGTTTATTAATGATGCAGTTTGATTCATGGGGTGGAGAGGAGAGCGGGAGTTCAGTCATACTTCCTGAAGAAGTGAAAAAGAAATGGAAATGAAGTTTTAACTGAAGAGCAGATTAGATCACAATGTGTGTGAGTTTCTGGTGACCTGTAGTGAGAGGCATGTCTGCTGCTCCCGGTTGGGTGGAGAGGTCAACTTTAACTGACACATATCATATGAGTGTTTGTGTGTGCATTACCACTTGAACTCACATTCCCACATAAGCATCATGGCATGTTTTATTTTCCATTTTATATTTAATGCGTAAATAGTATCTATTGAGTAAATATTTAATAATATTTCACTTTAATGTTTTAATATTTTACATTCATATTTGATTTAAAATTTATTGCATTAAAGGTTTGTTTTTTTGTTTTGAGTTTTAATTTTTTTTTAAGTTGTTTTATTTTATTTTAGTCTTGTCTAGTCTATGGGGTATGAAATTGGAATATGAGACAATACTTTAATATTTTATTTTTTAAATTACTGCATTAGTAAGTTATGTTTTGTTTTTTATTTGAGTTGAGGTTTTGGTAATGTTGCATTTTGTTGTGTTAAGTTGAGGTTTTGTTTTGAGTTGGGGATTGTTTTGTTCTTGATTGTTTGATGTTTGAGGCTTTTTTTGTTCATGATGCATTTTGTTGTGTTGAGTTGATGATTTGTTTTGTTCTTGTTGTGTTAAGTTGAGGGTTTGTTTTGTTCATGATGCAGTTTTTGTGTTTAGTTGGGGATTGTTTTGTTCTTGTTGTGTTAAGTTGAGGTTTTGTTGTTTTTTGTTTTGTTTTGAGTTGAAGTTTTTTGTTTTGTTTGTGTTGTGTTTTGTCAGAATCAAACTTGAGTGTTGAGTTAAAGTTTTGCTTTGCCCGTGTTGTTTTGTTGAGGTTTTGTTTTGCTTTTTGTTCATGTTGTTGAGTTGAAGTTTTTTGTTTTGTTTGTGTTGTGTTTTGTCAGAATCAAACATGAGTGTTCACATAAACACTAACACACAGTGTCACAGAGACTGTTCACTAACCACCAGGCCTAGTTTCTAACATAAATATTGTTTTTGAATAGTTTAGATTGTCTACATAAGCCATTTTTTGAGGTTTCATTGTATTTGTTAGCCTGGTTAAAACCAGACCATTCTCAGTTGTAACTGAGTTATGGTCTGGCAAAGCGTCATAGACAAATCATTTCCAGAGGGGCGTCACCAACGGACGTCGCGGATAGACCTAAACCCAATCAGAGCGATGAAGGAGATGGCGAATGCAAGAGCGCCTTTTTAACAAAAAGGAAACGTTCAAATCGCTTAAAACAGACGCGATAGCTGATTCGAACGAGTGATGTTCGACGGCGGCATCCATCTTTGTAATGTAGGCTACAAAATCTGCTTCAAAATCCCAGCGCTGTCGTCATCGTGTAAAGCCCGCCCCAACGTTTCTGATTGGTGCCTCGATATCGGCGGATTAGAAATGGGCTTGAATGAGCTCTTTGCCAGACTAACTTTCAGAGCAAATCTAAATTTGCCGGAAGTTGTCTGGGTTTCCCCAGGCTATGTATTTGTAAGAGTTTTTATAAAATCATAAAATAGATTCAGAAACTGTTCCTGTCCAGCTTCTGATTGGTCAGTGCAGCCCTCCAGCTATGCTAAAATGTACAATATTTAGTACCAGCTATGACTCACCTCTTCATCACAATTGCTGCAGAGTACCCACAGAATAACATCTAATTGTATGATCTTCTTTTATTCTAACAGTGTAACAGCAGTAAGGCCGTCCACTGCTGGACATGGCTAACATGGTTATATTCACAATACAGCACAAACTGTCAGACTTTATTGCATGGTATATATTATGAATATTGTTAACTACATAAGCACTCGATGTGGGTCTTTGCGAGAAGATTTTAGTCCGTTATGAGCTCGATCTTTTTTTGAAGTTGTGAGTGTTTATTTACAAGTGTGAGTCTTGTATGTGTGAGCAATCTCTTGTGTTCTCTGGGAGGAAGAGGTCATGATGGCAAATAAAGCCATTGTGTGTAATTACCAGTGCTACTAGAAAACAGATTAATATCCTTCTGGCCTCTCTGGCTAAAAGCACTCCACAACCCTTATTTGTTTAATTCATATCCTGGTGCTGGGTTCCATGTGGCTGTTGATTTGATTAATTTGCTTAAGCAAATTAACTCGAATTATCTAATAATACTTTTCCATTACCCCCACCCTCGTGCTTGTCTGCTCTCAAGAGGAACAATTAAAGCTCATCACGCATAATTGTGATGGGAAGTTGTTCTGATTTTGGCTTCCTCATTAGAGCATATTGGAGTTTTAGCTTCCGGTGGATGAATTATGTATACATATACTTTTATTTCTCCTCCTGTGGTCTGAGAAGGAGAAATTTGAGAGGGAGATAAAAATGGAGAAAAGGGGAGGTAGGGTTTGATTATCGCGAAGGCAGATAACTCGCTTTCGCTTCCCATCAGACTGAACTGAACTGCACTGATTGTGTGTGATTGCGGGGAGCTGTGTTTGCAGTAATTAAGTCCACGGTTACACTTCCTGTTTGTTTTGTTAAATAGTTTTATGGGAACTATTGTAAACGTACGACGAGAGAGAAGAAATGTTGTGCCAGCAGTACCATTTCAGTTCTGATTAGCCATTGCATGAGATGCATTGAGATGTGTGCCACAACGTGCGCCACAATTTCCAGAACGTTTAAACGGAAATTTTGTGAGTGACTAAGGTTACACTTTATTTCGAGGGTCCACTAGACATTCTACTAACTACTAGTCATTAGAGTATTAATAGACTGTAGTAGATTGATATTAGACTATTTCAGT